TCCCCTCCTTGTGGCCCGGAGCTGGCAGTGCGCACCGGGCGTAAAGTGTGCTTCCTACCCCTGGCGCCACCAGGCTGGGCAGCAGTGCTGGCAGGAGACTCTGGGTGCAGTGACCCCGGTCTGAGGCCAGTCGGGGGGAGTGCTCTCCCCGACCTTCTTCCAAAGCCACAGAGGGCGGAAGTCAGCTTAGGTCTCTCACTTCTGAACTATTCAAATAGGCAATCAATTTTATGATGTAATTTATAATTTATGCAGGTTGTCTTCATACATATGGTGTTGCTTTTGTGTGTCGGGGTTTCAGGTGCTTTATTACTCTGACGGTGTGATTTGCATTCATGTTAGGTTGCCAGGATCATATTTCTCCTGTTTACACCATAAGGGCCCAAAATGAAGATTAATGCCTCCTCCCTTCGCCTGGGCCACTTCTGGTAGACCCCAGACCGCAGCTTCCCCCTCCACCCCAGAGCCTGGCTCCCCGACAGCCCCGCCCCGAGATTCAGGAGAAAGAGGCCCTGTCCCTGGCGTCAGGGCCTTCCAGGAAGCCGTGCCTTGCAGAGGGCCCAAGCAGGCTGCCTGCTCAGACCGCGCTGGAGCAGAGGCGGGGGGTCTCCGGGGACAGAAGCAGGCATGCGCCTACAGGAGCCTCCTTCTCAGGGAGGCCACGGCTGGGTGTGGGCAGGCTACTTGGCTGCGTGGTCACTCCAGTATCCTGCAGGCGAGAGGAGAGACAGTTGAGGTAGATTCCATGGCTGGGCCTCAGGAAGCCGCCTCCAGCTTTTCCCGGGCAGCGGAAGAGATCTGGGAAGGCCCAGGATCAGCGAAGGTGGTGACCGGATCTGAGGTCCACTGGAGTGAGCCTCCTGACTTCCAGCGTATGCAGATGCCCCTGCCAGGAGGGGGACAGTGGACTACTCCACTTGGGACAGGACCAGGGAGAGGGAGCAGTCGCAGGAGCCCTCTGCTAGGCTAGGCAGGCACAGCTGAAATGATTAAGCCAATTAAGCTCAAAGAAACAGAAACGAGGCTAAACGGGCTTTGACCCCAGAAACCGCAGTCTTGGAATGCAGGTGCTCAGGCCGGCCACAGGCTCAGCCAGACTCTGGATGATCTTGGGAGGCACACCAGACCCAGAGGTCCCCCACCCTCAGCTGCAAATCTCCTGTGGAAGGACGACCCAGGGGGCTGAAGGCTAGGAGGCAAAAGCTGAATGTGGAGGCACGTGCTAACTCTCAAGAATTCCCTTGTGGACGGGGTTGGGGAGGATCCAAGCGCTCGTGGCCCAGGCCGCCCCAAGGATATCCCCAGCCCCTGCAGGGAAAGTGGGAGAGGTTGCTTGGGGACAAGACCAGTCCCATGAGGGCTCTGTTCAAGGAGGTGTAGATGTGTTTTCAAAGGATGCTTGGTTCTCCAAAAGGTGGGGGGGGGGGTTGCCCAACTCCCCGGAGATCTAGGGCAGAGGGTCCCCGATAGGGTTGATGTTCCCTTACCCTCCCCACTACCCTTGTCCAGCTTGGTGCACAAGGGGTGCCGGCAGCCCCCCGGGGGGGCTCTAGCGGATGGCTGGGGGCACCAGGCCGGGAGCTCCCAAGCGTAATTATTTGATCTGCAGATGTAAGTGGAATTTATTGTAACAACAAATATAGTGATGTCAAAACCCAACCTTGGATTAAAGCCGGCAGCCAAAGGGGAAGTGTATTAATTTCCAACAGCATCTCAGGCCAGAGCCTATTAGAACAAGCTATTCTTCAGGCCCCCCCATCAGAATTAATCATTGGGAGTTAATTTGAAGCTCAGACAAGTTGCTGTTAATTTAGTGCAGGGAGGACGGGATGGAATAAAAAGCTGAGGTGCTGGCCGAGCCTCGTGGGTCTCATTAATCAGCCAGCTGAGACGGCCTGGCTTGATTACAATTTGCAAAAAAATTCATTAGGGCCCGGGCGATTGACAATTTTTCTCTCTGCCTGTGATGTGACTCATTAGGCAGCCAGATGAAAGCCATGATGACGGCCATGATGACAGCGGCCATCAAGCGCTGCTTGTTTATCTTCCTCCCCTCGGCCTGTCTCTCGGGCCTCGGCCTCCGCACCAGGCTCTCAGGGGCGCCCCGGAATTGGGGGTTGGGAGGAGGGGCGCAGCTTCCCGAGAGAGCAGAGGGGCTCCACGTCCCCGGGCTGGGGGAGCTCCGGCCCCTCCCCTCGTGCTTCCGAAGGGCGAGGATCTCACAGCTGGGAAGGGCCAGGCAGCTTTGTTCCCCCGCCCACCGGGGTGGGGATTCCCGGAGGTGGCCCCCAGTTTCTAGGGAGCTTCATTTTCCCGAGAGGTTCGCGTAGCCAAGGCTCTGGGTCCCTCTGTGCTTTCTGTACCTACCATGGGCTTTCAGAGAAGATGGGTGGGAGTTACACCTGTTAGGGTGTAAAGGTATAGGGGAAGCGGGGGCGCTCCAGAATCTGACCCCGGGTACCCCGCTCTTGATACCCAGGGTTCTTCCCGCAGGCCCAGAGTGCCGAGTGGGGGCGCCCCCGCCCGGGAGGCCGCCGCTCCTTCCGCTGGGACTCTGCACCACCTGCCACTGTTGCGCCGGGGTCGCCTATCATCCTGACTGGCTCAGGTGTGCGGGGTGGGGTTGGGGGGAATGGGACATGGTGGGGGCGGCGTCTCCGCTGGCCTCGAAAGCGCGGGGAGGCGTGTGGCCGGGGGAAACCTGCCTGAGTAGGTGACGCCAGCGGGTGATCCGGGTGCGCGCACCAGCTGGCCGCTGGCAGGATCAGGGGGAGCGGCCGGGCCTGGCTGAACGGGAGCGGGGCCAGGGAAGGACCCCGGCGCAGCCTCCACCGCGGGCCCCAGGGCTCTTGGCGGGGCGGGGGGCGGGCAGCAAGAATCCCCTAAGCTCTCCGCGCCCCGAAGAGCCGGCTGAGGCCTTCGGAGGACCAGCCGCTCCGCTGTATTGTGCTCGAAAACCAAGTCTGGGCCATTTTCCGCGCCTGGAAATCTTGGGAACACGGCGGGAAACGCTGACTCGGTTGCCTCCGTCCCTCACCTTGTGCCTGAAGTGTCGACGGAGGCCGCAGTCCCCACGGCTCTCCGCAGCGGGGAGGTGACGGGTTGTAAACGGAGTACTTTAGGTCAATACTAGTATTGACCGAGGGCGCCGTGTCTCCCCTCCCAGGGTTGCCATCCGTGGTGGGTACCGCGCGCGGTTGCTTGGGAGCCTGCTCCCCACGCCGAAGGCCGAGGTTGGCGAAGCCTCTGGCTTCTTTCTCTTCGCCCTTGAGGCCACAGGTCAGCGGGCCGCACTTCCTGTCGCTCGCCCGCTCCAAGCCCCTGGAGAGTCCCGGGCCTGTTCGCGACAATCTCCGGGGGGCCTGGCCTGGCGCTTCCGGGTCGGGAAGGGAGCGGGCGTCCAGGGCTAGGCTTGGGGGCGCGGTGCCCGGGGCTGGGGGCGGTGGGCCTCGGGGGCCCTTCCCGTGCCCTGTGAGCCGCCCGGCCCAGGCGGGGAGCTGCCTAGCTCTCAAGTACCCCTGCGGACCCAGCCGCCACCCCGTGTGCGCTCTTCTCCGCGACCCTTTTTGTGCTGCCGACCTCCCCAGAGCCCTCGGGGTGGGGCGGTGGTCGGGGCCCGCCCCTCCGACCCCGCCTGGAGAGGGAAGCGTGCGGGCTGCCGACGCTCTCCGCACGCCCGGCCCTTGGAGCTGAGCGCTGCCGGGAAGCCCAGCTTGGTTGGGTGGGTTTCTGCTCCCGTCACCAGATAACGCCCGGAGCCTGATTTATGGGCGCTTGGCCCAGCTTGGGGCGCGAGCACCGCTCCTTTTCCGACCGGGGATGTTGGTAAGAAAACGCGTTTCCTCCCTGGTAGTGGTCTGTTTAGAGCATCAGGAGTCTGTGAAAAGCCACCAATACCCGCGCTCGCTTTCCCTCCTCCGGGAGCCCGCTGCCTCCTATGGCCGAAGTTTGCCAGCTTCCTAGGTATTGATTAGAGCAGGCAAAAGAGAAGAAGTCAGCTTTCTAGGATGAAAAGGAGGCTCCCTTAAATTTAAAACCCAACTAGAGCTCTCGCTCTCCACTTAAAAACCTCGTAGTAAGGAAAAGGTGGCTGGTGTCCAGCCAGCCTGCAGAGACCAGGACAGGGGACTTTTATCCAGTACTGGCCCCAGACCAGCCACCTGGCCATAGCCTGGCAGTGCCCTGGAAACAGTCAAATCTGGACACACTTACGAGACCCAGAGATTGGTCTTTTTTTTTTCCCCTTCTCTCTCTCTCTCTCTCCTTTTTATTATTCACAAGACTGCGATTGTTTAAATGTCATAACTTATAAGAAAAGAAGCTACATTGAAATAAATTAAACACAACGGAGACGTGCTTCAAACATGGCTCAGATAGGATGTGCAACCCCAGGAAAGAAAGCCAAGCAAAACGAAAGCAAAGCAAATCTCCCGGATGCCCCCAAAACATCTGCTTTTCAGTCAACTAAAAAAAAAAAAAAAAAAACAAAACCCAAAAAACAAAAAAAAAAAAAAAAACAAATAAACAAAAAAAAAAAAAAACCCCAAAACGAAGATAGAACCAAAAATGAGCGTAAACCCCATGGTTTGTTCTGGAGTGTCATGTTTACCTTTGGAAAAGTATGGAAAGGAGGCTGCTATGCATGGAAGATTACAGCAGAGGGTTTGTTTTTCTTCTGGAATGTGAGTGGAGAATATTACTGGGTAGTTTGGTCCTATGACTTTCAAAATACTGCAGCTGAGATCCAGTTTATATAGACATCTATGTACAAAGTAGGATAGTATAATAAATATTTAGTGTGTCTTCAGGTGTAGCTGTAGCCCCTTCAAAAGCAGTCTTTTAAGCCTTTTTAATGAATATACTCTCAATGTGCTTGGGGTGTCCAAAGTTGGGTGGGGGTGACTTTGAGTTTTGCTTCAAACATGGCAGAAGCCACCGCGGTTCCCTCCAGAGCTGTGGCTTCTCCGCGGTGGTCCAGGCCCTGGGTTCTCCCTGGATCCTCAGGGCCGGGCCTGCTCCAGCTGCTGATGCTGACTTCTGATGGCGAACCTGCTGACGTGGACGGGGATGGGGACGACGATCTTGGGGTTCCTGGAGGGCTCCCCTGTCTTGGAATTGGCATTGCCAGCCTTGACGCGTTTCCACTTGGCCCGGCGGTTCTGGAACCAGATTTTCACTTGCACCTCGCTGAGTTTGAGGGCGTGGGCGATCTGCGAGCGCTCGGTCAACGAGAGGTACTTTTTGCAGTGGAACTCCTTCTCCAGCTCGAGCAGCTGCTCACTGGTGAAGGCAGTCCGCCGCCGCCGGTTCTTGCCCGTGGACGTGGTGCTGCCCGCCGCGCTGCCGCTCGGCGGGGTCTCCTCCAGCGCATGGCCTGGGTCTTCTTCCTTGTGAGCCGCCTGGCCAGTCAGATTGTCATCCGAGCTGTAGTCCAGATCACTCTCCAGTGAGAAACTCTCCTCCTTGCCCTTCGGGTCGTCTTCCAGCTTTGACTCGTCTTTCCCTTGCCCTCTGACAGCCCCGACTGAAAGCAAAACCAAACGGCGTTTTATTACATTTCGCACACTGGCCTTCCTCTCCTCTTCCCACCGTCACTTGGGCCTTTTCCCCCCTTAGCGGATTGTCTTTCTATGACATTAACACATTGTGATTTCCTGGCCTTTGAGGGGCAGAGGAGGGGGGGGGGCGTGAGAAAGCTCAAAGGAGGAAAGAAGACAGTACAGACGACGGCCCTTTGCCCAGAACCATCACTCAAGGGGCCCCAGGCCACGTCTGCACCCTCCCAGCCTCCAGCAGCTTAAGGCAAAAGTAACAGGAGGCCTGAGGCCCAAGAGAGCATCCTCTTTGTCCCCAGGGTGGGGGCTGGGTGAGGACGGAAGAGGAAATTCATGATCCATCTTGCCCCCCCCCCCCGCAGTGAAAATTTAGTGAGCCTCAATTACATCGCAGTCAAAGTGGGAACATAGGGAGGTATAGATCCCAGACAGTGTCTTTTTTTTTTTTTTTTTTTTTGACAGATAATGTTGGCAAAAGGGAAGTTTTGAAGCCTTAGGAGAACTTCCCACCAGACACCGCAACACACCGGCAGACGCACAGCCTCCCAGGAATCTGATTCTCCCGGACAAGCCCAGTAAAGGGGCTTAATAGGTCTGGGGGAGTCCAACCCCGGCGGCCCCAGCACACGCACTACTGAGACACATAGCCCAACCCGCCACCCCTAAAGATTTGAAACCTATCCGGGGCCCCAGGTCACGGCTCGCAGGAGGGGGTGGTTAGACTCTTCCAAACTCGCCGCCAGCCAGGTCAGACGCCCCGCGCAGCAGCTGGCCCCGGGAGCTAAATGCCACCCCACCCCCTAGCTTGTTGCTCGGCTCTAAATGCCCCCCGGAGGCCTAGCGGCACAGCTCGGCCGAGTCCTCCTGACGCTCAGGAGGGGGAAGCCGGGGCGGGGTGTCGGGAGGGGGCTCGGCCTCGCCCCCTCGGCCCCAGCGGGAACCCTGAGATGGCTCGCCCCCGCCCCCTCCCGCCCCCGCGCCCGGGTCGCGCGCGCCGCCGACTCACCGAGCGACGCCTGCACAGCCTCGGCCGCGGAGAAGGCAAGCAACGAGCCCTCCTTGGCCAGGAAGCCTTTGCCGTCCTCAGTGTCGGCTTGCAGCGCCTCCGCCTTATCGAAGTTGCCGCCACCCGGCAGCGGCTGCGGCGCGAACTTGCGGGCGGCCGCCGCCTCCTGGTGCTGGGGAGACGCAGAGAAGCCTCCAGGCAGCGTAGCCATGAGCGTGGAGGTGAGCGCCATGCCCTGCGCCAAGCTGGAGCAGAAACCGGTGGGCAGGCTGGGGATCTGGTGGTGAGGGTGCGCGGGCGGCAGCGCGGGCTGCAGCGCGGCCTGGGGCAGCGCGGGTGGCGGCGGCGGCGGCGGCGGCAGCACCACCGGCCGGTAGGGCATAAACATGGGGTAGCCGGTGTAGACGAAATGGCCGGGGCTGGGCTGCGGCGGGCTGCCGATCAGCGAGTCTATGCTGAAGGCGGTACTACTCCCCAGCGGGCGCTGCATCATCATCAGCGACGGCGGGAACGCTGCGCTCATAGACGCGCTCGGGAGAGGCCAGCGAGAGGCGAAAAGTCCCCGCGCCGCGCCGCCGCCAGGAAGCCCCCCGGGCGCTGGGAGCACAGCCGGGTGCGCTGGGCAGGGGCCGAGCGGAACCCTGAAAGCAGGCGCCGCCGACCCTCAGTCCTGAGCGGGTTGCATGCCCGGCGGGAGAGCGTGCGGGCTGTACTCCGGGTGAGGCCGTGCGCCCCGGAGTGGAGAGGGCACCCGGGCCCCGCGGGCTCGCTGGAGCCGCTGCCCGCCGCTTGCCCGTCGGAGCCCGCGCGAGTCTCGTCTGCCACCCTCGGCCCCGGCTCTCAGCCGTCGGTGCGTCCGTCTGTCGGATCCGCAGTCCGTCGCCTCCCGCGGGCCGCTGGGGAGCGCGCGAAGCTGACGCACTTGTCTTCGGCGGGCGCCGCCAGAACCTTTAAATCGCGCTCCTCTTTCTCATTCACATTTTGCCTGCTGCCCGGCCGGGCTTACCTCACGTGGGGCCAGGCACCACCGCCTATTGGCTGCGCCGGGAGGGGGCGGAGCGAAAACGGGGCTCCGCCCCTTCCACCAGGGCTGGCGGGGAGCCCGCTGCGGGCGCCACCGGCCAAGCGCGCGGGCCCGAGAGCCAGGACCTGCGCGCCGGGCCCGCGCCGCGCAAACTTGGAAAGGGCTGTGGGCTCCAAAGCTCCAAGGCTCGAACCCCGCGGCCGGACGTCCTTGTCGAGGCCGCCTCCCAGGGCAGCTTCCGGGGTTGGGACCTACCGCGGCTGGGCCAGGGGCGTTCTATTTCTTCCTCAAATGCCCTGGAACAAACCTGTCCGTGGCTCTCCCTAGCGTTGGGTGCCGCTACTGCGCCCGTGCTCCAGAAGAGGTTCCCAGAGTTGGGAGCAAGGTCCTGCCCCCTTCACGTCCGCCCCCTGGGCGCGGTTCGGGAGCTGGAAGGCCCCAGCCACCGGCTGGAGCGGGCCGGGTTTCTCACTGCGCCCCCCGCGCTTCCGGGCGGGGCGGGGAGGCTGCTGGTCCCCCCATCCCGACCTGGGCCCTCCTGTGAGCGATCCCTTCTCATTTTTCATGACATTCTTAATCATCGCACCTATTTACACACTTTGCCTGCGCGCACCAAAATAACAGCCACGATAATTATGATAATAAAGCGAGTCCTTTATCTGCTCCATCCTCGGGGAGGAAGGGGGAGTTGCTGTGCCTCCAGATTGTATAACGTGAGATTATCCTGATGAAAGCTTTATGATGTTTGCTCAAATAAAAGCTGCGTTTTGTAAATAGGCGCTAATTAAGCACGTTGAGAACCGAGGGAGCGCTCACCCCGGCGCCGCCACCCGGTTTCCTGAGCGAGGACTCGAGGGCGCGTGGTTCCCCTTTGCTTACTGCAGGATAGAGCGGATTCCCTCAAGATGTTTCCCCTTCCTCGACAATGGTAAAATCCCAGAATATGGGAATAAGGGAACTGGCGGGGAGAGAGTGGGGGATAGTGAGGTGCTTATCCCCTTCTCTATGACAAAACCAGAAACTTGCGGTGCTCGAATTTCTCTTAAAAAACGGAATCGTTCGTGGCCAGGGCTGCCCGTGCAGTGCGCGTCAGTGCGCGGGGCTTCCACGCGCCTCCAGAGCCTCGGCTCCAACTTCCTGGGTCTAGACGCTCACTCGGAGCGGCTGAGGAGCACCTGGCTCGCGAGGAGAGGAGAGAAGGGCATTGTTATTCCAGTCATTAAAGATCAGCTCACGCCGAGGAGCTAGTGGTTGGGGAGTTGGCCCGTGTTGGACGTGTGTTATGTATCACTTACAAGCACATTTAATTGGGAGATAAAGATAAATCGATCTTTATGAATTTATCGACCCTATTCCTTGAAGCTCTTCTTTCTCGTTCTTCTTTCTCCCGCTCTAACTCCAAGGCCCCCAGGGGGACGTCTTAATTCGAGAGTACCTCTTCAGCCGTGGGTCTGGCCAGGAACCCACTGCCCACCCAAAGGGCCCTGGAGGAAAGAGAGGAGGGTGCATCCCGGCGCCCCCGAGTGCTGGGAAAACTCGCCGGCCCCGCAGCCAGCCGCCCTCCTCCCGCTCGCCTCCTCCCCCCCGCCCCACCGCCACCCGGACAAAGACGTCTCGAGCGCGTTTCCCCACTCCAGGCGGCAGTAATAGATGGCTCCGGCGGCAGGCGGTTTGAAAGGAATTCATTAGGACGCCGCTGACTGTACCGCCTGCACTCCCTTCACGCCCAGACCCCGAGGTGGCTTAGGCGGCGTGAGGGGGAATCGGTGGAATCCGCGGGGCAGGAGGTGTCTGTGGGGTCTTTAAGCTCTATCCCTCTTTCTCCACTCCTACAAAAGAAGAAAAAGAAGAAAAGGAAGGGGGGGGGGGAATCGAAGCCCAGGGCAAAAGGCTGATTTCTTTATGAGCATAATAAATACTCCCTCTCATTATGGGATAGTTACAGGCACAGAGTCTCTGGTATGGTTACCTTGTTTTTTGAATACTAAGAAAAAATGTTCGACTTCTTGCTTGATTTACGTTGCTACAGCCGGGTCTCTTCGCGGCTTGACACTGGCGTGTGTGTGTAAGCTGTTACTCATTTTACCCGAGCAGATTTGCCATCCACTTTGCTATTTCGCAGTAAAAATATTGTTCTAGGGACTTCCGTCGCCTGATTACCCTCCGAGAGACAGGGATTCCTTTGATTATTTTGGTGATAATTCTACATTTAAAGTTCAGCAAGAAGATTTAGGTCCGCTGAATTATAGCTACACTTGAAATAATTTGATGGCATATTATTTGCATCCATAAATTGCTGTGGAAAGTATTGACTGCGGGGGTTATAATACTAATCTTCTTTTATTAGTGAGTTCAGAGAATTCTCATCAATATGAATTTTATTTACTAGTGTGCTTTTTCTCGAATGCAATGCGGTCATATTTTCTCATCTAATGCTTAACTGCTCAGAAAACGACTGTTCGCATCATAAAAGGATTCTTGTGTTTCGCCGGTGATTAACAAGATTCATTCGGGGCACCTCAGCTACCTGCAAAGCGTTCAGAGCACGGGGACTGCGGAAAATAAAAGCCCCTAGAGTTCTTCCTCGTCTCCTCCGAGAGATTTATGGGTAGCGAGCGACAGGTACTGGGCTTATCCATCCTTCGGATTCCTACTTGCTTACCTCGGACCTGCCTCAAACTGCAGAACCCTTGGGTGACTCGGCTCGGCCCAAACTGCGCAGGAAAACCACCTGGCACAGATCTTTGCAACTTTGCCTTCAGAGGTACCCCCCCACCCCCACCCCCCAGCCCCCGCGCGCGCTCCCTCGGGTTCGGAAAAAGGAAGGACACAACCGCAAGCACATCTGGGTGCTCCAACTCTAGTTAACTTCCGCGAACTTTTTTTTTTCCCCTCTCAGGAAGACTCCCGCGGGGATGAAGCTGGCCCACCCCTTACGCACTTTCCTCGGCCGATGCCAAGCTGGTGTCAAGACCGTATTAAGCCACTTAAAACCTCAGACGTCAGTAAAAGTGATGGTAATTAAGTTGTCTCCACGCTTCGGGGCTGTCCCAGTCAACGTTCGCGTGCAGGTGTATGGGGGCTGAGTATAAAATGCTAAACGCACAAGTAAATGAATATTCATGTGGCAAACTTGCGTCGGCCGGTGGAGTCCAGCCCGGAGGAGGAAGCACGGCGAACCGCGCCTTTTACAAACCGCCGGCGGGTGGAGGTCGCGGGCGGTGGAGGAGAAGGGGCTTCGTGGGCGCCCTAGGTCTCCGTGGGTGCGGAGACACCCGCAGACCCAGCGGGCTGGGTGCTTCCGCCCGCCACCCAGTCCCGGGAGAGAGGCTGGTTTCTGTGGCAACCGTGTTGTTTTTATTTATAGAGACTTTGAGTGGCCTGATCATTCGGTCATGGCAGCGGCTCTTGCTCCTGGCAATCGTTGGGAAATAGCTTGGGATGGGTTTTATTTATGGAAGGGCAATTGGGATTCACACCCAGCAAACCCACAACAGTCCCTCCCAAGCCCAAGACGCACTTACAAAGGGGTGCTTGTGTAAAATTCCCCATCAGACACACCAATTTGCAAGTAGCAGAAAGCATTGAAGCCTCATCTTTTTTAACTATTTTATTCAGCCTTTTTTTTTTTTTTTTTTTTTTTTTTTAAATCTGAAAGCCCAAAATAGACTCCATGTGGTTCTAAGTGAAGTCAGCCCTTGGCTGGCTTTGAAATAGCTCCTGCAATTATGTAAAAGAGCCATTCACTAACAGGACGGAATTAAAAGGGATCTCGCCTGCTTCCCTTTCATTGCTAACCTCTCCTGTTTGGCTTTTCAAAGCGCTTCCAACACGATGTCTTTCTCCAGGACAAAAGGCAGAACAAAAAAAGTCCCCAAACTTGTAAATTGAACGTCAAGGGAACTTTAAACAATTTAAAGCCCATAAATAATGATAAAGGGGACTGGCAAAAAAGGCAAACCCATTCAATTAATAGAGTTTCCCAAGCAAAGATCAAGTGGTTTATAAAATGAAAGTCTTTGGTTTCATTATTCTCCTCCTTGACTATGCAGAGAGCAGGACAGGGGGTTTTTCTAAAGCGCCCTGAAGAAGAAACACTTTGCGGGACTGTGTGTGCTGAGACATTCTTATGTAGAAAGTTTTGCTTTTTGTCCCCCACCCTCAAAGTAGCAGAAACAAACCCGCAAACCAGAAACGTAAAAGGGAGGAGACTTTGTGTGTGTGTGTGTGTGTGTGTGTGTGTGTGTGTGTGTGTGTTTTCTTGGGGGAGTTGGAAAGTGTTCCCCGCAGGCCCGAAGGCCAGGGAACCTGACCCTTAACACCTGTGCGGCCCTCCCCACCCCGGTGCGCAGTAACAGACGGAGCCACCGGCTCGTGGTCTGTGAGCCGTGCCCTCGTAGGATCTAGCGGCCGGGATGAGGAGGGTTCTGCACCTGGGATCTGCGGGCCTGGACACTCTGACCTGTCACTCCAACCTGGGCTTCAGACACCGGGCCTAG